CACACACACACACACACACACACACACACACACACCAGCAATCAAGAAGAAATGAAAAAAAAAAAACAATCTTTTTTTTTTGTGTTTCTTTTGATTCTAATACTTGTTTTTTTCGTTTTCTATTTTTTTAAAATAAGAAAAGGCATCAAAATCCAAAAACAAAAATATGGGGATGTAGGGAATTTCAAACCCTACAACCCCTTCTTTTTTTTTTTTTTGACTATTATTCTATTTTTTTTTTAAATCGCCGGGTTTGGGGGTTGCGGTTGGCCGCCGCGGGTGCCCGCAGCGGTCGGGATCCCGACCGCTTGCGGTAAAATGGCCCGCGGTCATGACCGTGGGTGATACATAGGCTCCAACATGGCAAAGACCGTTGCGAAATGTGTCTCACACGGGTAAACAAGGCCCATGTGTTTGCTCTCCAGCCTGAAAAGGTGAAGAGCAACATCGTGCACTTTATTGAACCGCACGACCACTTTGGCCCGCAGTATAGTGCCGCTGATCAATGTGCTTGTTGTGCCTATGTCTGACAACAACTTGTTGCAGACATGGACTGCACGTGGGATCCAAGTGATGCGTCTGTATTGTGGGAATTTGTGGCCTCATCTTGGGATGGGCCAATGCGTTGGCAGCGGCGGCATACGCTGCTGCCGACTCCGTGCAGATAGCGTTGACACACTTCGGGCCGAAGCGCTCGAAAACATCTACGTACCACCCCAAAACACCAGGCCCATCATCACGTGAACCCTCCCTATTAATCGTCCTGATCATCAACACGCCTCATGATGCCGTGGCGAGGAAGTTGACGACAGGCATGTGATCGCGATACTTCCTGCCATCTAACAGAATCGTAATGCCTGTGACGTAAAACGGCTCCCTGGCGTCTCTTAAATCCGCAGCCACGTCATCTGCAGTCTGACGCACGGACTCGATCGCAGCGATCTCCTTATGAGAAAGCCATAAAACCTTGATAGGCCTTAGCAAGTCTACGAAGTGTCTCTTGTACTCCTTCCAAGCATCATTGCCGAAGATGTTGAACGGTGGCTGTACACTAATAGCAGAAATTTCTTCTTGTGGTCCACAAGCCATTGGGAGGAGAAGACGTCCTTGATCGCAGCCTGTCTCATCTTCTTTCGTGGGGCCACATTCCCCCCTCCCTCTCTCTCCTTCCTCTTCCCTGAACTCTCACCCACCAGACCCTTCCCCGTCCGCTGCGTATAAGGCTCCTCACCCCGTTGCTGCGCCGCATCGCCTTCGACATTGATCGCGTCATCCACCCCCTGCCCTCCATCTTCCTCGCCGGCTGCACCCGACTGACCCTCCCCTCCCGCACCACCATCCGCATCCATAGTTGGTGCAGCACCGTGGAGCTTCTCGCAACGCTGCAACCGCTTCAACTGCTTGTTGTCCATCTTGTAATTAGTGTTATAATGGATGTCCACCAGCGCCTCGTCTGTGATCTGCGGACACCCTTTCCCCTGTTTGAAGTGCCTTGCCGCAACAAATTGTGTCCCCTGGAATTCATGGCCGCAGAAGATGCACTTGAACATCTCCGTACCACGGTTCCCGAGGTCGTGACCGACGCGAATGTATTCGAAGACGACGCACTTCACCCGCGCCTTCTCATGTGCCAGCTCGTCAGCGGCCTTGACCGGCTGCGCCTCGCCCAACCCTACTCCTGACCACCGCCGATCAGGGCGGGGGACACATGCATCCCCTTAATTGTGAGAGGTAGCTATGCTTGCAGGGGTCTCCTGTATAGGCTTAGGAAAGCTAGGAGTAGTGGTAGGTAGATAGTGGAAGGTGAAATAGAGAAGAAAAGGAAGAAAAAAAAAAAATTTGCTTGATAAGTTGATAGTACTTACTACTCATTACTGCCGAGCCTAAGGGCCTCGCCACACCACTGTCAAAATGAGAAAAGAAGTACAAGTGCAGCTTGTCCAGAGAGTGGTAAGATGCATCCCTTGGTACCCTTACTACCTACAGTAATGGATGCATCTGGCCACTCCCTACCTGAGCATGCAGTGGTACTTTTTCTGTTTCGACAATGATGTGGCGAGGCCCTAAGCCACTCCAACCAGCCTGATTGGTGGACTAAGAATTTGAACTGGAATTGATAAGGGGAACTCCCGGGCCCCATCCCAAGCTATGCGCCAAGAAACCAAAACATAATATAGAACTCAGACAAAGTGGCAGTAAGACAAGACATTTGTAAGGATCCCTTCTGGCTCAATCTCCTTCAAACATGGAGAAAACTCCCTCTACCAGATAAACACCCCCCACTGAGATGGGAGGAAGTCATCCGACAACCCCTTTTCAATAATGCATGGATTAGAGACCTTCAAAGATATTCTCTACATTGTAATGCAAGTCCATGGAAAGGATGGATAAAAAAGGGTATCACAAGGATAAAAGATATATGGGATAGCGATTCCACGGACTGGATTTCTCCTAATACACTACTCAACAAACTCCCGTGCTGCCACCATGTGGAAGAAAGTCTAGAAACCATCATAGATCTAATTCCGCTAGACTGGGTTCAAATCCTCAAGAGAGGTCAGACCTTCCAGGAAAGTGATTGGGTAGGTCTAAGAAATGAGGCTCAAATGATTGAAATGTAATAATCTTCTCCTCTAACTCAACTGTTGTAGTCTCCCTGTTCACTTTAAATGAAAACAATATAGCAGTCCCTCATCTGGAAAACAAAGTGATCTGGGTTTCAACGGAAGTAATTTATAGAATTAGATTGTTAAAGTAAAAACTCCTCAATGAGTCCTGGACCCGGTTTCCAGCAGGTGTGGCTCCCCACAAATAGTTTGGAGCAACCAGGAAACCTGCTAAGGGGGGATGCTCGTATCACCTCTTCTAGCAGATTTCCCATCGTGGCTGGCCTTCAGACCTGCAACAGATATCTTTGATCTACCGATTGATCCGGCCAACTGGACATGGGGAGATAAAAGGAAGCAGGATAGAAACTACACTAGATCCCTACATACCCTATCAGTTAAACCACCAGTACCTGGCCCAGCTATAGAGTCCGAGCCTCGGCCGACCGGTACGCCGATCCGTGCCGAGGCTCAGACTACCGGGCGCAGGCATCCCGAACGTCGGAGTGAAACGAACGAAAAAAACAGAAACAAAAAAACGAAAAAAAAAAACGAAAAAAAA